ATTCATGTTGATAGTAAATTAATCATGAAAATCTTTCCAGTGGCAGATGATCCTAAGATGAATTTACATTTTGTTTTATATGTAAAGTCTATATATACATGTACATATTCTTAAATACCCATTTGAAATAATTTATGCATCTATAATAAAATCATAATTTCCAAACCAAGTTGAATCTCAAGGTTGAATGGATCTTAGAAATCTCTGAGAAAAATCTATCCCCCAGAGCAATCATTTTTCCCCCCAAAATAGTAGGTCAGGTAAAGTCTAAAGTATCTGCAGCTTTCATTTCTACTATCCATACTACCCTCCTCAGGTTTAGGCAAAGCTGTGACCTATACTGACATTGATATATTAATATGATATTTTTCCTAAATCGTATATGATCCATTGAGGGATTCACTGATAAAATCAAGAACATATACTTTAGGAGTTTTATTTTTAGTTTTTTTTAAAATAGTGTTTATTTTATATCCCTGTTTTTATCCTTTGTATTTTTCTTGTGTGGCAACATACAAAAATGCATATGCTTTCACTTAAAAGTTACATGCTGTTCTATGAAAGCTAAAGAGCAACTGATGCTGAACATCATTAGCAGAAAGCTCTTTGGGACTCAGTGCACTAACAAGAACATCAGAATACCTAAGAACACTTTATACCTATGATTCAAACCACAGAATGCTTATTGCTATGATAAAAATCTAATCATATAACAATTATTATAATAAATTGCCACTACATATTCCCTTTGGTACTCATGTGGCAGCACTTGTATTTGTTGGTAAGTGATGAACCTCTTCCATGTCTGGATAATGCCTTATCTGATGTTTCATGGGGCATGGCTAAAAAAACAAACAAAACCCTTAAATTTTGAACATATTTGGGATTCAAACATAAACATCAAATTTCAAAACCTAAAATGTTTACAGGGATCAGGGATGAGTTGCATAATAATAATTAAAAAAAAAACCTGAAGCCAGTCAGGGAGTACATGACCCATTGAAAGAAGAGTTCAGATATTAACTCCAGTGGAACACAGTCTCACAAGCATGCACATACCCAGTGTGGCTTGTCTTTAAAATTTTTAAAGAGAAACCAAAGATCTGGATTTACACACAGGATTTCTCCTTTTTGAATGTTGGACACTGAAAATAGTTTGCTCATTAAATAAAAATGAACTTCAGTCAGCAACAATATTTAGTTTGATAACCAGAGCATTTTCCCATGCTGACAGAATACAGAATGGGATGGTAATGGGTATAGGGAGAGAACACTTATGAGAACTTACAGGAACAAACTGCCAAAGATGGAAAAAAATCTGGCCTACCAGTGAAGGCTAGAAGTAGAGTCTATCAGTAATAAACATTGTGTAGTAGTAGGCTGTACCTGAATCCTTCTTAAGAAAGACTCCTAAGGATTTTTAAGCTTCCTAAGGAGGAAGAAGATGTATGTAAAAATATGAATAATAATTTGAGAGGTCCATGCTGCTTAGCTAAGGCATTTCTACTCCTTTCACCATAATGATAACTTGACAGCATAAGGGTGATTGCCTACAAAAAGGTGAGGGAACCAAAGAAATTTTGATCTAGCCCTGCTTTATTGGAAGTAGTGAAAATCAAACAAAAAACCCCAAACAAGACCTATAGTGTTCTGTTGAGAACCAGAATCCTTCAAAGATAAAGTCCATCATGATCTGACCAGCAGAGTCCACAAAAATGACACATTAGCATGAGGTTTGCTCCCATGGAATTCTGAGGTGAACACAAGAAAGGATGCAGACTGAGTATTTTTATTTTGGTGGGACAGGGAGATTGACCTAGCACATGTGGAGATAAACTATTAGCTAGGAGGCTTAAGTTCTCAAGGTAGGAGAGATGTCTGTGAACCTACCAGTTGCTACAGTTACTCACATGGATCAGAATCCTTGGTTTCCACCTATACACTTATGGTTTCATTGGATTGCATGGAATAATAGGCTTTTTTTTTTTTTTTAAATGAAGCTTCCTGGATAATACCATCTCTTTGATACATTTGATAATGATTATATTAGGTATTGTATTTAAAATGCTTAGCACAAAATATTAGACAGATAATGCCAAGTGAGGATGGGGGGATATTTGATTGCTGGTATAGACATACTGCCATTCTGGAGAGCAGTCTGACACTACATTCTCAGATCAATGCATGTTTACCCGAGAACTCAGTAATTTCTCTCCTGGTTATACATACTAATGATATTCTTAAACAGATCCCAAGGAAGCATGTGCAAATAGGTAACAATGTTGATGTGGTAGAGATTTGGAGGCCATCTGGGCATTCATCCCTGGGAGAGTAGATAAGAAAATGTGTGATATGCATACCCTGGTCATTACAAAACAATCAGAAACAACAGACCAGATGGGTACAGAAACCTATCAAGTGGTCTTTGAAACCTAGTTCTTAGTGAAGAAGATGAGTAAAGATAAAATATAAAATTCAATGCCATTTACATAAATTAGAAACTTATGCACAAAAGCAATAGTATATACTTATAAAAATGTATGCAAACAAACAAAAATATACCCAGTAGGCAGATATAACATTTGTCTCCTGGAGGAGAGATGTAAGTAGAATGGAGACAGTGGAAAGAGACAGAAATAAACAGTTAAAATAAAAAAGAGGCCTTTCAAGACCAATGATGATATTGAGCCATGAATTGAGTACTGTAACAAACCTCTGCACAAAAATTTATAAAGCAAAATACAAAAAGAAAGTTATTAGCACAATGTCTGGCATATAGTATGATTGATTCTATAGTTTAAGCAAAAAAAAGGGGGAAAAAGGGTCTGAGAAAAGAAAATAACAAAGAAAATAATTTCTTTAAAGATAAATATCACAGAAATCTGTCGAATATGTTCTAATGGATTTCTGCCTGTGATCTCAGCAGATTGCTAGCTATTGGTGGAGAAGAAAAAGACAGATTTGATAAATTCTCTCTTTAAGAAGGAAGCCAACAAACTTGAAATGAAAACTTTCTAAAATCCAATTGGAAACTGATAAATGGTGTTTTAAATAAGAATCAAAGATGTAGTGTGATATATCAGCGGGTGATGCATTATAAATTAGTATTTAAAGAGTCACTTTCAATCCTTTTGTGCAGCAAGGATTACTGAAAGTTCATTATACATTAGTTTCTGTGCTACATAGTAAAAATGCAGTAGGGTACAGGAGAAAGACTGGAAAGCAGAAGTTTTGACAGGTTAAACACAGGGAAAGGCTGATTGAAGGGCGACCAGACTTAAAGGTCTAAGGCTTTGAAAAGATTATGGTATGTGTGTGTTGGTGAGGAGGGGAAGGAGGGGAGGATGAAGTAAAAGCTCATAGATAAGTTTCTTATTGTGCAAATAATTATGTGAAGATGATAAAATCTTATTTTATCTTCTGAGAAAACAGAGGAAAATAGAAACATATTGAATTGTAGAAGAAAATGAAATGGTTTTTCAGTGTGGTTTATTTTTATATTTAGATACCATAATAGTACATTATCTTCTCTTTCAGATACACTGGCCTACTACAGCAGTAAAAATAGAAGAATGCATAATGAAAGGAAAAGATGCAGTAAGTATTATTCATTGTAAATCACACAAATTATCTATTATATTCCTGGTCAAGCACAAAGGAAGGACTGAATCATTTAACTTTTATTTGGTCTTGAAAAGTACAGATGCAATGTAATTCATGAAGGAAAATATAAATATATACATACAGTAAACTTACAATTACATAAAAGATAATTTCAATGTAGAGTTAAAAGAAACTGAGCTGCCATCCAGGTCTGAACTTTTATTTTTTTTTTATTGATTTTTTTTATTTTAAGACAGAAACAGTGACTTTATTTTATTTATTTATTTTTATTCAGTGATGAGGATCAAACCCAGTGCCTCACATGTGCTAGGCAAGCACTCTACCTCTGAGGCACTATCCCAGCCCTGTGGAAAGGGACATGCTGTTTACAACGCCTTTCCTGACACAAGGCAACAAGAGGACCTCAGATGTTAGGAGAGGGTGATTGATCTAATGTAATACTCATCTGGGAGGAAGGCCTGCATATTTCTCTCTGAAAGTAAATTTATCCTTACTAGGAAAAGAAAATGCCATGTAAATGACTAACACATATTACTTCAATTTCTAATTCTCTGTAGCAACTGGGTCATAGCCAAGGACTGAGTCAACACATTCTTGCAGCCTTATCCCACAGCAAGATGCTGACTAATTGAACATACTCCTAGGCCGTGTCAATCTAAGCTCAGCTGAGCCAAAATGCATCCTAATTGGTTCACTCTTTAAGAGGTGACAGTGTCAACAAAAGAGAAGCAAGTACTTACAGAAATCTCAGGATAGAATATTTTCCTCTTGTCTGAAAGACTAGATTCTATCACCAATATGGCTTACCCACAGAATAAAATTTTGTTAAGAGTGGGAAATTAAATATATCTGTGCCCTGGATAATTAATTCAGTTCCTTATTCTTTTAAAGGATATTATGTCATATGGATCTCTTATGGTAAAACAGATCTTCTTGTCTTTCCATCCTAATATTGTTATATGAAACATTAAAGTGTTGAAATCACAATCTGTCCTTACAAAATATTACATTTAATGATAACCACAGTGGGCTTGAGATATAGCTCAGTTGGTAGAGTGCTTGTCTTGCATGCACAAGGCCCTGGGTTCAATCCCTAGAAACACACACACACACACACACACACACAACTGATGATTGCATATAATGATTACCAAAGTAATATTTTCCATTCAAAGAGTTTACTACTTCTTTCATAATTTATGTATTTATTTAATTATTTCTTTTGGTACTGAGGGTTAAACTCAGGGTCACTTGACCACTGAGTCACATCCTCAGCCCTGTTTGTATTTTATTTAGAGACAGGGTCTCACTGAGTTGCTTAGAGCCTCGATTTTGCTGAGACTGGCTTTGAACTCTTAATCCTCCTGCCTCAGCCTCTCGTAATTTATTTTTAATGAAATAGTAATACCTAATTTTCCAACAGGGTATTTGAATTAATTAGCCAGTTGGTTTTGAAACAATTCTAAACATTTTTTTTCACTCAACATCTTAGTCATAAAACTCCACTAGTAAGTAACTAATGTATTAAAGTGTATTCAAGCACATATTATATACTAGATACTGTATTTGATTTACTGGGAAATGCAATGATATGTAAAATAAGGATTCTGTTCTCAAGAAGCTTACATTTAAAACCAGTGTTACAAAACTGAAGCTTCTGGACAAAATACAGTCTATAGTTGATGTTTCTGAGTTTTATAAGAGCATTGACACACATGTGCATTTTTGTTTTGCCTGTGGCTGCTTTCATGCTATAGCCGCATTTATTCGCAATAGGTAAGAAGGCCCACCAAACGAAATGTTTACAGCCTGATCCTTAATAGAAAAAACTTGTTGAAATTTGGATTATAATCTCACAGCAATAGTAATCTTAGGAGATAACCTTAAAAGTGAGATGTTATTTCTATTTACTTATAAATTCTCTTAGAAATGCTTTATATTAATATGTGGATTTGAGGGCATAAGTTATATTTTCCCAGATATCAAAATTCTGAAATGCCCTACAGTCTGGTACATATTTCTCTCTGAATAATGAAGCCGTCTCTAATCATTTGTTCTTTAATCTTGTGTTGATTCATTGTTTATGGTATACTTAAAAATAATAGCATTGAGAATAACTTAATTACATAGAGGAACATATTGCCATGCAAATTTTTATGCCTGAATACATATCTAAGCAGTGCATTTTAAAAAATACTCATTCATGATCTAGAATACATGAAAAATGCTTTGTTCTCATTGTAAAATGGAATTTACACTTCTCTGCTAAAATGTGTGTCACCCTGGTTTCTTCCTTTATCTTTTTCTTATCTGCTTCCTTTGACCCTCCACTGAAGGCAAATTATGGTGAAATAGGAGGTGGAATAAAGGGCTAGGGAAAATAAAAATTTAAAAAATGGCTAAATATTTCTATTACACTAATCAATTTATTTCATTTTGATTCCACTTTAGAATGAATGTGCAAATTATGTTCGGGTTTTACATCATTATAATAGGACGCACCTTCTGACCTGTGGTACTGGAGCTTTTGACCCACTTTGTGCCTTCATCAGAGTTGGATACCATTTGGAGGTAAGATAGTTTCATTCACTGCCACCAATAAAAGTGATACTTAAAATACTTTATTTTAAAACAAAAATTGTAGTAGTTCTTCCCAAGAAAGATAGAAACAGTAAAAATGTACTGACTTGGTTTGCTCCAGACAGAGAAATGATCTCTGGACCTTTAAAACCTATATCAGCTATAAACCTGTGACATGATTAATTCTTGTCATATTCATTTAGTGAACAATTTTTAACATTTTTTAATATTTATTTTTTAGTTGTAGTTGGACACAACACCTTTATTTTATTTATTTTTATGTGGTGCTGAGGATTGAACCCAGTGCCTTCCACATGTTAGGCGAGTGCTCTACCACTAAGCCACTACCCCAGCCCTCTATTGTGTTCTTATGTATATTTTTATTAACTTATCCGTGAAACTGGAATATATGTGTGTATATATAAATAGAGATAAATACAGATATATGTACTTTTTAATTAGCTTCTGCATTGCCATGATCAAGTCTTGAAAAGAAGAATTTAAAGGAGGAAATCTTTTTTTTTGGCTCATGGTTTCAGAGATTCAGTCCACAGTCACTGACTCCAAGGTGAGGTAGACCATCATGCATGTGTGTGTGGTAGAAGAAAGCAGCTTAGATCATGGCAACCAGGAAAGGGGGCGGGGAGGGGGATAGAGAGAGAGAGAGAGAGAGAGAGAGAGAGAGAGAGAGAGATATCTGCTCACAAAGGCCAAAATACCCTCAGTGATCTATTCTTCCTCCAGCCACACCCTATCTGCTATAGTTACCCCATTGTTAATCCATACCAGTGGATTGATCTACTGACTAGGTGACATACCTCATAATTTAATAATTTGCCTCTGAATGTCCTTGCATTGTATCATACACAAGCTTTTGGAGAACACGGCATATCTAAACCATAACAGATACACACAAACATTCACACATATAATTTATATAAATAAATTTTACATTTAGTATTTTACAAAAGACATGCAAAGACTTATTGATTCTGTAACTACTTTTTCCTGGACAGGTGAGTTGGGGAGCAGAGAAGAGGGCAGGATTTCAAGCTGACTTAAGATATATGTTATATATATGTTTTTCCCTGAGTCCCTAACACTAGGTGATATGGTATGAAATGGGAATGAAAGTAAATTTCAACCAACTTTGACCACTCATGTAACATTTACTCGCAAGCAGGCTCAAAGACCAGTCATGGAGTCTGTTTCTATAAGCTGGGTGGAGTCTTTGCTCTTACTCATTTTTACCCTTTGAAGCATTGCAATCACCATTTTACCCTGAAGTATACGAAACAGTATTTCACTCTCAGGAATTGTTATTTTTCTTTTTAGTTAGAATCATAACCCTACATTAAGATGGGCACAGATTAAAATAGTGCTCTGGATATTCTATAGACAAATAGCTCTTGATACACATACTCCATTTATGAAGAGGCACCAGTGACTATAGAATATGTTTAATAAACATATAGAGAAAACACTATTCATTATACAACTGAAAAATTATTTCTGAAATTCCTTATGCTAGTTAGTGCTGAGGTACAAATATAATTAGTCATATCAAAGTACTTAATAGCTGCCTTTGGAGAGTGCCACTAATTGAGGTATTTCAGCTGTTATCTATCCTTATAGGGAGGATTTTTAATTAAGATATTTTAAATGTTAACTTGCTGCCCTACATGATTAAAGTTCTGTAGCACACATAAATGCATCACAGTATATTTTAAAGAAATGCAAATAATATAATAGGAGAAATTTTGAAGGAGATGCAGAAGGCACATCAGGTTAGTGCAAGATCAGATTATATCCAAGTATATATACAAATGTACAAAATTAGAATGTATACATGATGTGGCGTTGAACTGCTAACAACAATTCTTTCAGTTTTCATTTTTGTGAAAAGATCTTTATTTTTAAAGAATATTTTCTCTGGATATAGAACTCTGGCTTAATAGTTATATTGTTTTTCTTTTAACCTTTTAAAAATGTTTTATTGTCTTTTAACCTTGTTTCAAATGTAAATTAATGTATCATTCATATTGATGATATCCTATTTATAATTATTTTGTCTTGCAAATTTTGTTTGTTTTTCATCAGTTTTTCTATAGTGTGATTTTGTATGTAGAGGTGGTAGGGGAAACTGTATAGTTTTTAGGCTAC